GTATGTATCGCTTCTTCTTGATAGGTCAAGTCTGATGATGTGTCATAGGTGTTTGTTGGACGATGTTGGTGATCAGTGGAGTGCGACGATCGTAGTTGATGCCACAATGTGAGTGTATCCTGGCTGTTGTTGAATGTGTTGCTAAAGAATAGCTTCAGAAGTGATGTACAATATATCTATCGATTCACCTTGATGTGCTGAGTCTGTTGGTATGTCAATTGTAGGTGTTATCGAGACGTTGGTGGCAGTTGGAGTGCGACTCTTGGCGCGTGTAATGGGAAATGATGTCTCTGCAAGCTGTACTTTGTAAGAATAGGTTCAACAGTCACATGTTGGTCATCATTGGCATCATCAATGACATCATCTTCGTTGATGTCATCATCATCGCCACTGTCCACCTCATCAACCTGCTTGGAGTCGATCAATGATGTCCTTAAACATCTCGTCGATTGATGGACACACTTGGTCAGAGAGTACTATCATCTGCTTTGATCCAACACGATAGGTCGACATCTGATTGGGCCGCCTTCTCCAACAGTGCTTCGATCTTGTTGTCGATGGCCTTGGACCGCCTTTCACTGGACGTCGATTGAGTCTGTCTTAGACCATTGATCTCTCTCCACACTTGGCATCGCGCAGCTAATCCTGCTTCATGGTCCAATTGCACACTGGCAGATGTTGCCTTGCCTCTCCTCAATGGACATGTGTCACCGTTGCCCTATACCAATAGCCATTGACATCTGATCTAGTCTCAGTATTTACTTTGACCAAGACCTTCTTACCAACGAGATCAATGGTCAGGTTGGTCAAGGTCATTCTCGCTATTTGCAATATTCTACAATCTGGTACATTCTGCTCAATGCAAATTCCATTGTAGTTGTAGTTGTTGTTGTTGATCTGATGACATATAATGTTGTAACGTGTAAGTGTTGCTGTTGTCGAGACGACCACATATTACATTGTACTTACTTGTACTTTACCTCATAGAGGTCAGTGGCGTATGATTGTATCGTTGCTGGAAACCAACCAAATGACAAATGGCCGTACGTCAAAGGTTATCAGTCGCAGTCGATCCTGATGCAGTGCACAGATCCACATCTTGACCAATACTATACTTGCTGTCCCATCTGCGCATCTGTTCCATGAGATCGGGCAAGTCAAACCTTATGTTGAATGATCTGTTAGAGATGCCATATCCTCTCGCTTGTAAGTATCTGTTTTGACGCCAGGTGACCTTTGCTATGGCTGAATGAAGTACAAAGAGTTAACATCGTCATCCAACCAATCAATCATCCACAACAACACCAACATCATTCAATCAATCATTCGATAGATCATTCAATCATCAACTACTCTTCCATTCAAATGTATATGCTTACTTCAAGTCCCTATTGATATCGTTCTTCAAATCCTCATAAGCCTCTTCTCCACAAGTGAATCATTGATCACTGTCTTTGATAGAGCGATATTGCCTGGTTTTGTTGGTGCACCTATCAACAAAGCACTTGGTCACAAAGTGCAACGCTATCAGTTTGATATTGATTAAGTGTAAGTATGTCGACAGTTTGATAGTTAAATAGACACTTACACTCAAGTGATAGCATATAGAAGATAGAAGATAGCAATGCTTCCGTACTTTGACAACATCTTTCTAGACTATCAAAAAGCCAAAGGACAAGAGCAACTATCTTTCAACGGTTATCAACGGACTGTCTGACCTCACTCCACCAACCAAGGTAATTTTCTATTTCGCCAACGAGTGAAGGCTTCTTCCAGGACCTCATTATGGTGATCTATACTAGCAACTATGAGCCTCTCTATTTTCACTTTATTGGCGAAATGAGTAAGTACTGTATGACTCAGTGTGATGTGAGTAAGTTACACGTATTGACCAATTCATTTACATTACTATCAATACTCCTCATAGTTGACGATGAACCAGTCCGCTCTTGGAACCTAAAGAATCACTTGGTAAGTTAGTAAATATAGTTAATGTAAGTAGTAACAACTGTCAACCATATCACAACTATGAACGTCATGGTTGGATAGTAATCCATTGGTTAAACTATTAATAACGTAAATAAATTGTAAATGATCGATTGATGGATTGATGGAGGACTTTACCAAATCAATAGGAATTATTCCAAATTTTGATTGACAGGATGTAGAGCAGTGATCTACTGATTGATTGATTGGATAGAGATATTCCAGGGTTGATTGATTGAGTGATTGGGATTGTCTAGGAATGATTTATTTCGAATCAATGTTTCTCCTGAGGGTAGTGATAGAGCCAGTGGTGAATGTGGCATTAATCAGGTCCTCCTTCATTGAACCTCTGTTCTTGGTGACTATGTCCTGTCCGGCACTGAATGATTCCTCCAAAAAGGTAGACGCGCCAAGAATAGATAAGAAGTCCTTCGACATGCGGGCCAAGACTGGATATGTTGTCTCGTGATCACGCCACCAAAGAAGGATTTCATCTATCTCTCGATTCCTCCTTTAGATAGATTGCCAATTCATTGACAGCGGTCTGTAATCAATGGTTTCTGTGACTCGATGAGTTTGGTGAACTCTTTGAAGTGCTTGATGAACAAGTGCGTGCGGCCATTCTCCAAGTACTGATCCAGTGACTGTTGGCTCTCCAATCTCAGCTCTGCAAGCTGTTGGAAGATATCATATCTTATTGATCGATTTCTAAGTAGGCTTTGAAACGATGTCTTTTTCTCTGTCTGTGTCAATGGTGCGTTGCTGCTGACGCCATTGCTGTAATAACTTTATAGATTAGAATCATGTTTATGTTTGTGGAGCCACAACCAAACAAACAGAAGTTGTGTATTAAACGGTAATAAGTACAGAGAATGAAATGTAGAGATAACTAACATAACAAATATTGATCGTTAAATTGTCTATTGACACTACCAATCTTTGAGATATGGAGTGGCGGTATTCAGCTCGTTATCGTATTGCCATGCTTGGGAGGGGTCACACTGGTAATAAGTTTATGAAGGGACAAAGACATAGACACTCACTCAGTATATTAGATTGAGTGCTCTAGGACCAGTTGTTCATATTTAGTAGTTGAAAATGTGATATAACTAGTTTATTGCAACTTGAAGGAGATGACAGACTCCTCGCCCATGGCAGAGATGACGCTGACCAAGACCTCCTTGCCACCACCGAAAGCAGCCTTGACATCGACTCCGAGCTCGCCATCCGGCAAGACCAAATCCTCCTTCATTGAGCCATCAGCCTTCATCAAGGTGAGGTATCCATCATCAGAAATATCAATGAGGGAGTACTCAGCTCTGGCGACGTGTGGAACATCGATGTTGTGGGTGGATGGGCAGATCTCCTCAAGCTTCTTTCCAGTGAAAATGTCGATAGCAGTGATGTTGACCTTGGCGTGTCCGTGCTTGCCGGTCTTTGAGGTAGACATCTCAACAATCTTGCATGGACGCTTGTTGATGACGACGTGACCGTTCTTTCTCAAAGCAGAGCATTGCATTGGGTAGGTGGCCGAGGCTCCGGATCCACCTGACTGGTACTCCTCAACGGCGAGCTCTCCATCGGATTGAGTGTCGTTTTCAGTGTCAGACATTTTCTCTACTACCTATAAATTGATTGTTGTGGGATCATAAGTGTGAGTTGATTGAATTGTTGTTGTTGTTGTTGTTGTGTTGATGATGTTGTTGATGTTGTTATTGATTCGATGATACAAAAATATTAAAATAACTATTTTTGTAGCATCAGCAGTAGGTTGTTGTTGTTGTTTTGCTGTTTGTTGTCGGTGTTCTGTTTTATTTGTTATGTGATAAAGTATGCATACCTTTTTCTGTGTGTATGTGTGTAACTGTTGAAATGGTTTGGATAAGTGAACGAATGAGATAAGTTCTATCTTGTTGTATGTGGTCATCAAACCAAAAATAAATATTAAAAAAAATCAATCCGAAAGAAAACGTTACCAAATCGATTTTGAATTGATGCGGAGCAAAGCTACTATGGTGAAAGGATGATCTACATCTCAAAGGAGTAGAAAACAACAATGTTCTATGTCTAGTCTCTTTGACCGAAGGATAGACTATCTTTTTCTTACTCTCTCTCTTATCTCTCTCATCTCTCTCATCTCTCTCTCTCTTCACACACACACACTTCAACACACACACACACTATTCGTTCATTCACTCCTCAGCTATGATCCACACTTCTCATTATCATGGATGTGAGATTATCATAACACCTTGCATCTTGAACTTGACAAAGTCTTGAATCACTTTATATTATATGTATATATATATATATATATATATAAATAATTAGTTTATAAAGTTTCTATTGTTTCTACAATATTGCTGGACAAAGATGATGGAACAAACAACTACATCCAAAATATGTAATAGAGTGATTGTTGTTTCAAATGCTCTACCGCTCACCATAACTCATGTCGACGGAGAACTATCGGTCAGTGAGGCCAGGGACCCTTTTCCTATGTCCTCAGCACTCTCGTCAATGGTCAAAGAGAAGAGTATGCATTATATTTATCATAGTTGTTGGTGGTGAGGCACAATATTAATTTACTTTCCACCTACAGAGTTTGATGAGTACCATTGGATAGGATGGCCATACTGTGAAGTTAATCCAGAAGATATTCCTCGATTGGAGGATACAATTGGCACACAGTTCCCTTGCATGCATCCTGTCTTCCTCGATCGAAAGCAGATCAAGAACTACTACAATGGCTATTGTAAACTCGGGTTGTGGTCGATGCTGCACTATCAAATGAAAGAGGTGCGTCTGAACTCCAAGTGGTGGAGTTACTACGTACAGGTCAACCAAATGTTTTGTGACAAGATTGTTGCGCTCTGGAGAGAGGGCGATTTTATATGGATACATGACTACCATCTCATGTTGGTGCCATCAATGGTCAAGGCAAAGATACCCAATGCATACGTTGGGTTCTTCTTCCACTCACCCTTTCCATCGTCAGAGCTATTTAGAATTCTCCCAAATGTAAGCTTTGTATAGAGACACACCGACTTATTCCCATCACTCGCTAACCACAACAATACATTGTTTCCATCTACTCCAACTCAGAGAACTGATCTATTGAATGGAATACTTGGCTCAAACCTAATAGGGTTCCAATCATTTGACTACCTTCGACATTTTAAGAGTAGTTGTGCTCGACTTTTGAGTTTGGAGGTGGATGCAGATGGCATTGAGGTGCCAGGCAATGGCACGTCCTCTCACTTTATCAAGCTCAATGTATACCCCATTGGAGTGAACTTTAGCCGGTTCCTCGACATTATGAACACACCCAACGTCACTCAGAAGCTTGAGGATCTTGGTCGAGTGTTTGAAGGCAAGAAAGTGATCATCGCCAGAGATCGTTTGGATTCTATTGGAGGAGTACCACACAAGCTCAGTGTCATTGAGAGTTTCTTCAACACACATCCCAATTGGCGTGGAAAGTTGGTCTTTATCCAAGTATATGAAACACCTATGGACACATCAATAGAGTCTGGTGAACAGAGAGCATTGCTAAAAACAGTCAATGAGTATGTATTCTTAATTTAACAAACATTGATATCACAATACTTATAATAATTCAACAACAACAGGATGGTTGGAAGGATCAATGGATTGTATGGAACATTAAACTACAATCCGATTGAATACATCAACAGGAATGTTGGATGTGAGGAACTATTCACCTGGTACAGACTGGCTGACATTGCCCTGATCACCCCAGTGAGGGACGGCATGAACCTGACCTCCCACGAATATGTAGTCTCACAGAAGGATAAGCATGGAGTGTTGATCCTTAGTGAGTTCACTGGTGCTGCCAGGTGTCTTGGTGGTTCGATCATTGTCAATCCTTTCTCAAAGAGCGAGATGATCGATGCAATACTCGAGGCGCTTGAGATGAAGCAAGAGGAGCGTCAGCTAAAGCACAGTATCAACTTTAACTATGTTATGGCCAATACCACACTGTTCTGGGCTAGGCGATTCCTAGAGGAGCTTCTGCTAATGGAAAAGCAGGAGGAGGAAGTGCTTGTTCCCAAGATCAATATGGAGCTGGTCAAGCAATCGTATTCAACATCCAAGGGCAAGAGGATATTCTTTTTGGACTATGATGGCACTTTGACTCCCTTGGTTCGCCATCCCAACCTGGCGGCGCCATCTCAACAACTGCTCGACACCATCAGCAGATTGACAAAAGACCAACGAAACATTGTATACATCATCAGTGGAAGGGACCGCAAGTCATTGGAGGGATGGTTGGGCCACATCCCTGTGGGAATGTCATGCGAGCATGGAGGCATACTCAGAAGACCAGGCATTGACCAGCCGTGGGAAGAGAATGGCAACTTGGATCTATCGTGGAAGGAGACCGTCTTGGACATTATGAGGGATATCGAAGACAGGACACCGGGCTCGTTCGTTGAGCAAAAGCAAATCAACCTGACTTGGCACTACAGAAACTCTGATCCAGAGTTTAGCGAGTTCCAAGCCAAGGAGCTGCTGGGTCAGTTGAACTTGGTGGCCAACAAGTATCCATTGGACATTCTGCCTGGAAAGAAGGCCATTGAGGTCAAACCTATTGGTGTTAACAAGGGAAGCATCGTCAAACAGATACTTACCAACACAGACTCTGTTGACTTTGTTCTCTGTCTAGGTGATGACCGAACTGGTATGTGTAATAGTGAATAGTAGTAGTAGTAGTAGAAGTTATTGACGAGATGATTTAACTAACTAATCACCCAACCAAAAAAATACATTTAGATGAGGACATGTTCAAAGAGTTGATGGAGAGAGTTGACGCATACAGTATCAAGGTATACTCTGAGGGATGTAAGGAGAGACAGTCAACGTTTGCCAAGGCATTCTTGGATACGTCAAGCGAGGTGCTGGAGTTATTGGGCAAGCTCTCAGACCAAGAGTAAATGGCATCCATAACCCAACTGGCAGGGTTGTGACCATTTATTACCACCAATGCTACCAGTCAATGTTTGATTAACCTTCATAATAAGTAATAAGTAATAACAATTCAACGAAATAATAATAATAATAATAATAACAATAACTATAGAAGAATATCTGTTGATGGTTTTGTTTTTTTTTTTGTCATTGTTCATTCACCTATCTGTTTGTAAGAGATGGGTAATAGTAATAGTGCGAGTATTTCTCGAGCAGACACCTACGAGGAGTTTATAAAGCATGTTGCTGAGGCCAACAAGATGTAAGACACTGGCGACTGAATGTAGTCTGTGTGTGATTGATCGATGGATATCGTTTGACTGATACAACTTATACAGACTGTTTACCCTACCGGACGCCAATGGAAAGATCATGTGTCTGTCAGTTTCAGAGATGGACTTGCTAAAGGAAGGTCAGTTTCTATGGAAGCTCTTTGTAAGGGTACAAGTATCATTAGTTAATCAACAACAACAACAACAACAACAACATCAACAACAACAACAACAGCAAAATCAACATCAACCAAAACTACAACAACAACAAATGAAAGAGCATGATGCTTCAAACAAGCGTCATACTGTACTAAAGTACAACCAATTCTATGACTTCAAGAGAGTTATTCTGGACCTCTTTGAAAAGTGTGATGATTCACATCTACTGGAGAAAGAGAACACAAACAAAGAGAAAGGAGTGGACGATACTAGACCAAACAACAGTATCGATGTTACCCGACTTTACAATCAAATGTATGTTGTTGTTGTTGTTGTTGTTGTTATTGCACAATGACATTGCTGCTGATCACTCCATCTACAAAACAGGAAAATGAGTGGCACTTGGTCAGACTCTAGGGAGTGTCCAATATGCTTTGAGGATGACGCCACTTGTGTTGCACCTTGTGCACACGCCTTTTGTTCAAAGTGCATCAATCAATGGCGTGAAAGGAACAATACATGCCCAATATGCAGGATGTCTGGCAGTACAGATGGTGTTCAAGGCGATTTGGACTTTGAGATCATGGATGCGTCACCAGCAGAAGAGTTATCGAATTACCTACAAAAGGTGATCAAACGTTAGGATACTGAACAGTCTTCTGAGTCCCAATCAAACAATATGCCAAAGATCCATCTCCTATGATCGAAACCCGGTTCAAAGTTGTCGACCTCAGTAATCTACAATGGCGTCACCACCTTGCCTACAAAAGCCTTTCACGCTGCTCAAGGTGACATTGGACATTTCCTACCTCCCTCTGTTGGATCACCTCTGGGTCATGGCACTACTCGTGGCATTCATTCCCTCATTGATAACAGCAACACTACGCCTCAAGCGGATAGTTGCCAAAACCACGACTAGCAGAACCAACGTTGCCAATCCAAACCTATAGGTTTGAGCAAAGCTTTAACTATCAACGTCGATGAATGAAGAAGTTGAGAAGGAGCTGTTAAAGTGATTTAATAATAACTATGAGATCATTAATGATCACTATCAACTTTGGGATGGCCGCCGCCAGTCACTAGTTTGTCTTCTTGGGTTGTGGCTTGCCCTTGACAATGTAGGTCTTGATATAGAAGTTCATGAACAGGATCAGGAAGAAGAGGTTGTTGAACATGGTGAACATGAAGGGACCCCATCCGACGCACTTGTGACCAATGGGCGATACGCCAAAGTCAAGGTCCTGTAAAAGGTAGGGCACCGACAGTACAAAGGACATGGTGAACTGGAACAGCTGGCCAGACGTCAAGTAGTTCTTCCACCAGATGCGCACCGAAGGATTGAGCGTTGTGCGGAAGTAGTAGTAGTACATGAACACGTGAACTAGAGTGTTGGCAAACAAGCCAACACTTCCATAGGCCACACCCTCAGGCAACCATGTCCAGACAATCAATACAACAATTGAGTGATGCCAGATATGGAGGAAGATCAATGGTTTCTAAATACAAATGAGAATAGACAGTTGTTAGTATGATGTGTCTGTGGTGGTGGATGAAGTCGAATGAGATGCTCCTTACCTTTTTCAAGACAATAATGATAGTGTCAATAAACTCGTAGAACTTGCTGACAAAGTAAAGGTAGTGCCAGTAGTAGATTCTGCCGCTGATTGGGTTGGACTTTGGCGAGCAAAAGATACCATTGATGCCATACTCAGTGTTCTGGAAGGAAGGTTGTGTGAGAAGTGCTGTCCAAACGTCATGATGTTTTGTTGTTGGGTTTTGATTGTGTACTTACCATTGCCATGTTGAATGCATCATAGGTGATTCCAACACACATGACCAATGACCAAACGCAAAGGATTAGGTTGTGAATGGCAGAGAACCAACGCAGGTTAAAGCCCCTGGTCTTTGGGTTGCTCAGAAGCAGCTAGTGGTGTTTGTGGACTGGTGGTAAGTGAATGGCCACATCAGATGGTGGTTTTATTAGTCATAAGTCATATATACCTTGGTACCATAAATGATCGAGAGGTAGACAGCAATGCACATAAAGATAAAGTTCTTGTTGGAGAAAGGTGTCACGCCCTCCTGATAGACAAAGTCGTTGGATGGGATGAGCTGATTCCAGTCCCATTTGGAAAAGTCAACTCTGGTTATCGTTTCCAAGTTATACTCTGTTGGCAGCAAGGACTTGAAGTAGTCCAAAGGGATAAGTTGGCTCATCAGTTCCTGTTTGTTGTTGTTTGTTTTTGAGTTGGTGGTTTGTAGTTGCCTCTCATATTAGTGAGTGAGTTCGACACGCAGGTGTCGTTTGTATCACATATGTGATCCATTACACCACATACCATTCGTAGGTAGATAATGAGTCAATGTATAAATAATGTTACTGTTCGTATTGTTACAATGAATGATGAAAGTTAGTCCCCTGATCTTACTTATCGCGATTCCGTTCCAATTTTGGTTCGGACACACTGAACAAATTATTTTTATTTTCAATCAATCCAATCAAATCATTCAAATCGAATCCAACAGTTCGGGACAAAGGTCAAAGCGCCTTAACACATTTCATTGTTATCAATACTTTAACTTATTTATAACTTAATCTAATCATCACTGTATGTATGTTTGTACAGTTATGACTGAGTAATCATCACTGTAAATACAGCTATTTAAAAAGTCTGACCGGTTGGAGTTTCAAACCAGCTGCAAAAGGTATTCAAACGTTAGGGTAATGAACAGTCTTGTCAGGCCTAATCAAACACAACCCCTTTGTGCCAACAGAAGATTGTCATCCCACACATTGAATCAATCAATCAATCGAGGTACCCACATCAACACGTGATGAGAGCTAGTGTGTGTAATAATAATTGATTGACACAGATAGGTTTCAATCGTCACACCTTTTTGGGAAAGAACAAAACCAAAGGTGATATATGAACACACGACAGATAGCATTTTGATCAAATCTGTCATGTGTATTCGTTGATCGAGATCACATACTCACATTGCTAAACCACAACTTTACTAAATACACTAGTACCCTACTGTTCATTTAAATGTGTTAAAAGGAGTTAATGATTGATTGATTAAATATGTGTTAAGGTCAACGCCTCGAGGCGAAAGGCCAAACACTCTCCACTATTTGACTACACCTTGGTATTCACAGTTCCAATCATTCAATCAACTATTATCCACTAATATCCACAATCAATAATTAATTAATTATTCTCGAATGGAGTCTCCTTTAAATATGTCCGAATGTTTAGATTTTAGTAGTACTACTTCATCACTTGAGCCTGAGGATAGTACTCTAACAGAAACCTCTTCAGTCTCAGTTGTTTCCCCTCAAATCACTGCCCAAATCAATGTTGAGAACTTTCCAATTGAAGAATTATTACATTCATTAAATGAAGTAAGTTAAATAATAATTTATCATAATAATAATTTGAATAATATTTAAATATTGACTTATAATTATGCTCTCAGTCTATTATTATTGAAACCAAACCAGTCCAACCAACTACCAAGCTCTCCACAACATACAATGATCTACCCCCACCACCTCCTCTACCTCCCACAAGCAATGGGAAATCAAGATCCTACTCATTAATGATCCCAAGCGGTCATCCAGATGCCCCCAAACTGTCCCCTTTGAAGCAACTGCACTGGTCCAAAGTACCAGCAGCCAACACTCGCAAAACTGTATGGGATGTCTCAGAGGAGTCGATCAAGTTGGATTTCAACAAACAGATACTTGACAGATTGTTTTGTTCAAAGACAAACATGTCGAGGACCGGCACTCATTCAACTTTGAGGAACCAAGATAAGATTACCATTGTAGATATGAGAAGATCCAACAACATTGGAGTTCTACTATCAAAATACAAGCTAACTGGTCCATGGGTAGTTGACATTATAAACTCAATGAGCGATGAACATCTGAACAAAGAGCTGGTGACTGCCTTGATCAAATGTGCTCCAACCTCGGATGAAGAGCAACTTCTACAATCTTATACTGGTAGCAAGAATATACTATCACCCGTAGATCAGTTCTTGGTAGAGGTATGTATTTACTTATTTGATATAGGTGATTCATTATCTAACATTCCACTACTACTCTATAGATGCTAAAGGTACCAAAGATAAGGGAGAGATTGAATTGTATTCAATATAAACAATCATTTGATAGCTTATTTGAGGAGATCATAAATGGTTCAAGATTAGTTGAGAGATGTTGCCAGTGGTTGTTAAAGGCTGCCAACCTAAAGCAGCTTCTACATCTGATCCTGAACATTGGCAATTATATGAACTCTGGAACAGCGCGTGGAAATGCTACAGGATATAGACTAAATTGTCTCTTAACAGTATGTATCATAATTAGTACTAATAGGACATATACAAAGATACTAAAACAATATAACTATTAAGTTGTCCAACACCAAGTCATTAGACCAATCCATCACTCTTTTAAACTATGTTGCCAAGATTGTTAGTGATAGATATCCACACTTATTGATAACTTCAGATCCGCTATTGGAGGCAGCCAGCCGAATCCACTGGAAGGAGTTGAGCAACCATCTTGTATCACTACAACAAGGCATGATGACCGTTCAGAAGGAGGTGGAGAGGCAACAGTCAACCGTCGGAATGGATACCTTCACCACCAAGATGAACCAGTTTATAAAGTCAAGACTGGACCACTTGAGGGATGCTGCCAATATCATCCGAGGTGTTGAGCAGCTATATGACACCGTGATGAAGTACTACGTTGAGGATTATTCCTCTCCAGAAGAGTTCTTCTCATTGCTCCATAACTTTATGACAATGTTCAAGCAGGCCCATCTGGACAACCTTCGTGACATGGAGAATGACAAGGCCATAAGGCCAAAGAGTATGATGGTGAGGTCCACTACGATCAAGAAACCAAACCCATTCGATGCCACCTATGGTAGTGACCAATCAACAACAACCACAACAGTTGTTCACAAAGCTGAGCGTATCATGTGCCAGAGGTCTCTGTCAACGACATCTTTGCCACGCGTGAGTCTCAATTTGGCTCCCCAACAGGAAGAGAACCAGGACACAGTCAGAAGTAGCGCTGCTGCTGCTGCTGCTGCTGTTGGTAGTAACAGTGGTAGTTCAATCCAAACCAAGTCAAAGGGCTTAATCAAGAACTTCAAGAACATATTCCTCAGGAAACGTTGATGATGATGCTGAAGTTTCCAGTGATGCCCAATAAACTGTACATATAATCAATCGTTCATTCCAAAAGGTACAAGAGGAGAGAGAGAGTCCTACACAGTCGATGACTATTATAAAACATATCTTTATTGTTACTAGTAGGGCGCAATAATCCAACTTTATCTGGTGTACTTGCCCCAGATGTGCAATAGAATAACGAATCCAATGAATATTAAACTAGCAACTAAAACAGCTTGTGGTCCACTAAAGAGAGAGAAGAAGTGGTCAGTACGGACATGAATAACTTGCTGATCAACATCATCATCATCATCATGTTGTATTCTTACACCTTCAAACCGATGGCATCCTCGGAGTAAAAGCGAAGGAGGTTACCCATTCCACCCTTGTTAACGGTGGCTGGTGCTCTGTTGGCTGGGGCATTAGTGCGCCTAATAAACATAAATGACGAGGTGTTAGTGATTGTATAAGAATCAAACAATACGCATTGTTTTGTGGTATCATCCAGGAGGGATCGATGGTGATCTATGTTTGAAACACACATACTTCATTATCTTGTGTCTGTTTTAGTTGGTTAAGTTATATAACTTGATTTATATATATATGTACAATAAATGTATTGAGTGATTGAAATTGATGTTATGTCAGATGCATTCAATTCAACACTAGTGTGTGGGCAAGGCTTCAAAGCCAGCATGATCGACGACTCACCACCAGTTTAGTGAAGTTTGACCTTTTATTTATTTAGTTGACTTTGAAGTTCAGTTTTATTTTATTTATGAGATACTATTATTAGACTATCAAGAAGTGTTCTAGAAATATATGTTTGACATTTTTATATATATATATATATATATATATATATATATATTAACAGTCCGATGTATGTCGCCTGATGTCTAACCTATGACTGTCATTATCCAATCAAAATTGGATGTCGAGTCATCATCAGTTTATTTTTAATTGATTTTAAATGAAGTCCTTGGACTTTCAAACTTTGGGTGTGTTGAAACTATCTATCTAAACAAAGAAAGGACATACAATACTAGTTCATACTTTCATTGTCGATTATATTTTATTAGTTATAACTAATTAGGTTAGTAATCTATGTTTAATCTTTTGTAGTGGTCCAACAACATAAATCTTATACCTATCGTCTATCCATCCACAGATAATGTCTAGATTCACATCCACCTGCATCCTGCTGGCAACAATCCTGTTGTTCGCTGCTGCAATTAACGCCCACGGCGACCATGGTCACTCTCATGGCGAGCAAGACGAAGAGGAGACCAACGAGATCTCACACGTCATCAATGTCACCGAGAACAACTTTAACGAGATTGTCACAGAGCACGATATCGTCTTTATGATGTTCTACGCCCCATGGTGTGGACACTGCAAGACCCTGAAGCCACACTGGGCCACCGCCGCCGAGAAGCTCAAGGAGAACCCAAAGATTGCCATCACCAAGGTTGACTGCACTGTCGAGCAAACCCTCTGCAAGTTGAACAAGGTTGAGTACTACCCAACCCTGGTTCTCTTCAGAAACGGTGTTCCAGAGCCACTGGAGGTCGATAGAAATGCCAATGCCATCGCTGAGACTGCCCTGGCGTAAGTATACTCTAGCTACACACTGTGAAAAGTGGGGGCAAAGGACAACTATTAACTCATATAACGCTCTCCACTTACAGTGAGCTTCTTCCACCAATTACCAACGTTGAGTCTGAGGAGCAGTTGGACAAGTTGAAGGCAGAGACACCAGCCCTCGTTGTTGGATTCTTTGACAATGATCATGGTACGTCGTATTGTTGTCAGATTATCTACGATCAATAACTAACATACATTATCTCTTCTTTTCAATCCTATTTAGATGACAGATACAACACCTTCAAGAAGTTGGTCACACCACTCAAGAAGTTTGTCAAGTTTGCCGCTGTTGTCAACAAGGACTTCTCCAAGACTCAGGTCAAGGAGACCCCAGCCGTTGTTATGTACACCAAGTTTGAGGACTCCCCCGTCAACACCTACTCCGGTGAGTTTGAGGTTGAGGACTTGACCCGTTTCATCCGTGCCAACAACATCCCAACTCTTGGAGAGATCAACGAGTCCACCTACAAGAAGTACGACGGCTGTGGTTTGCCCATTGCCTACGTCTTTGTCAACCCATCCGAGGAGGAGGCCACCAAGGCCACCTTGGAGATGGTTCGCAAGACTGCCACCGCCAACAGAGGCAAGGTCGCCTTCTGCTACGTCAACAATGCCAGATACCCACAGCAGGCCAAGTACCTTGGTTTGACTGGTGATGTCGTCCCAGCTATTGCCGTTGAGGTCAACGCCAAGGGACTCAAGTACATCCACCCAGAGAGTGCAGAGTTCACCGCCGAGACTGTTGCCCAGTTCGTCCAGGACTTTAACGACAACAAGTTGGAGCCACACGTCAAGTCCGAGAAGATCCCAGCCGACAATAGCGGACCAGTCAAGGTTGTCGTTGGAAAAACCTACAAGGAGATCATCCTCGACGAGACCAAGGACGTTTTGGTCGAGTTCTACGCACCATGGTGCGGTCACTGCAAGAAGCTGGAGCCAATCTATGAGGAGCTTGGCCAGTACYTTCACCGAGGCCACCCACGTTGTCATTGCCAAGATTGATGCCACTGCCAACGACGTTCCACCCGCCCTTGGAATCAAGGGATTCCCAACCATCCTGTTCTTCAAGGCCAACGACAAGGCCAACCCAATCAGCTTTGAGTCACAACGTGACCTCGAATCCATGATCGAGTTTGTCAAGGAGCACACCACCCAGACCATCAACATCAGCAAGCCAATCCAAAAGGCTGTCGAGGAGGAGGAGACCGTCACCGTCAAGAAGAACAAAGTCCATCACGATGAGCTCTAAATAAATAAATACAAGTAACGTACCACTATTATTATCTTATACAATGTAGACAATAACATGTAGTTGGTTGTTGTCGTCAACAGGAGTAAGAGATACGGTTTATATAATTTATATCTTTGGCATCCATCTGGCAAATGTAAGATAACCTGTATGACCTCTTTCCATTGTCTGTGGCTTCATCATCAGTTTGTTGTTCATCTCACCTTGGATGCAACCAACTTCGAATGACTCCACAGTTCCACTCTCCCATTTCTTTCTCTTTCTAACCTGTGATTTGTTATCGTCTCCTTGTTGTTGCAGCTGTTGTTGTTTGCTTTCAAATGTCTTGTATGGATTGTTCAGGAAGAGTTCTTCGTCCTCCTGCACTCTAACATCGTAGTTCCTCATCAACACTTCAATTGTTTTGATTTCTGTTGTGTAGTCGGTTTGAGTCAGTACTGTGTGATCGATTAACATGTAATATCACGTGATCATCACTCACCTTCAAAGTCTGATTGATCCAACTTGAGACAGACCGCTTGTACCTGCTCGATACATGGAGAGAATGAGCACAACATTCCACCTTCTCTCATCACTGCGATGGCATGATCAATGGCCTCCCACGGGGAGGGCAGGTCAAGAAAGACTGCATCGATGTGTCCAATCATATCGGTTTCTTCAGGCAGCTGGAATCCAAGCTTACAGACATCGCGGTGTGTCACTGTGATGTACTTATCGATACCATTGTCAGCAAAGTCTTTTTGAGCATGCTTTGCTCTCTCTCCGTGGAACTCAAACGTGTACAGATGACCCAATGGGGCAATTGTTCTCGCAAAAGATGTTGAGAGGGAGCCACTGCCAGTGCCAGACTCCACCACCTTGCTGCCATTGCGTACCTCTAGATTAAAGATGACGGCACTGATGTCGAGATTGAATAGGATCTGTGTGCGATGATCCAGTGTCAATGACCAAAGCTCGGGTGTCAATCTAAGTATATGCATGAATCCTGTTCCATCCTCAGAGGCAACCTTTTCGTTGATGATCAATCACACAATGTTAGTAACTAGTAACAGTAGGTAGAGGTAATCGAATGATGATTTACCTTTGAGCCATAATCACAACCTATCAATCTCTTGTGATGAAAGTTACCAAACTTGCTGTTAAATGTTTGACCTGATTTGATGTGAACCAGTGACATCCTATCACGGTTGAAGTATACAACAACCCTATCACCTTCCTCAATCGTCTTCTTACTTGGAGTAAACATAGCTGCTTTATATATATCTATTATTTGTAGGCAAGGCCTTTCGTTTTGTTGTTATCTCATCCCCCTCAAAAAAGTAGGTGAACTTTGAAAAACAGTCTGTTTTGGAGCTCACTTTTATTCAAACTTCACAGTCAGACACAACAGATACATTTGTTAACAATAATGAGCAAAGGAGGTGGATGGTTAAGCTCATTCAGTGAGCAGATCACTCAGATCAAGGATGTCATCACTAATGACGATCCTGACTATGATCCAAACATCGACCAAGATGATCAAGATACAGAGGAACAGATTGTAATGCTACGTGCAGAGGTATGGTCATTATTAACGATGGTCCAATAACTACAGCAACACCATCTGACATTGATATCTATCATATACTACAGGTTAATAAGTATAAGAGTGACGTTGCAGAGTTGGAGAGCAAAGTGCTAGAGTCAGAGGGCAGGGTGGCTAGCATCACTAAAGAGTTCAGTGTATTGATATCAGAGAAGGAGACAGAGATGAATGAACTGCGACGAATCAATGACAACCTCAAGCAGTCTCTCATATCACCAACCATCTCGCCACAACCAACGACAAACAGTATCAATAGCAGCAGCAGCAGTACTGGGAACATTCAGACTGACACTGCTACGGACAGTGTCGTTGGCAATCACCATCATCTGAATGGTCACTCAAACTCTGCCCTCGGTATCACAATGGAGAATGATCAACAGTTGGTCTTTGACGAAGATCATCCTCACAGGGACGCTGACAATATGGACATCAATGAATTGAAGCTGCAGCTCAAGGTATGATGATCACTTGACAATGTTGCAAACATTGACATTACCCTCTAACATATGCAGACATATAGACACAGAGCGATAACTACCATACTCAGATATCAACAATGCAACAATTACATCAAGAGAAGATACACAAGTTAACTCAGAGGATAGAGAATCTGTTACAGGAGAATGACCTGGCTAATGAGAAGTGTATGTGTGTGTACATCTCAATGTTGAGATATCATTGAGTCACTGAGAGATTATCATCATCATCATCATCATCATTGATCCTAATTGCCCGCCTCATGTGACACACAGTTGAAGAAGAGCAGGAAGTTCTAAAGAAGGAGAATCAACGTTTACTTGAGCAATCAACTAAAGTTATAGATATACTAAAGAAACACAACACTGATGACCAGACAGCAACTGTCAACTCACTGGACCCTGTTCAATACTTGTCTGCCACATTGGATATTCTCACATCTGGACAACAGAAGAACGAGGTCAAGAAAGAGACAAAGAACAAGGTTGGGACTGAATCACCTTCAGCGACTGATGTTGGTTCCATAGACACACTCAACGAACAATTGAAAAAGTCAACAAAGGAGCTGGCGAGGCTACGTCAGTACCTGATGGAGGTGGAGGAGAATCACACAATAACTGATTTGGAGAATGAGGAGAAGATCACCAGTCTACAGAACCAACTGAATCACATGATCGAACTGAACAAGAGCATCAGGTCAGACGAGCAGAGCAGCGATAAACTGCAACACGAGTTGGATGAGAAGGAGGAGGAGCTAAGACGCACCACCACTGCCCTCAACAATCTGCAGTCGGTGCTGGAACAGTTCCAGGCGGACCAAGAGGCAGCCATCCAGACCGAGTTGGTATCTGCCAATCAGAAGATCAAGGCTTCACAACAAGAGATCAATCGTCTTCAACAGGACAGACAGGCTTTGGAACAACTTCAACAAACATATCAGCAGGCACAAAACACAATCACAGAGCTGACGCACAGGATCTCAATCAAGGAGCAGGAGTACCAAACACTACGTTCAGACATTGAGCCACTGAAGGTTGCATTCGACAGGAACATCAATCGTCTAAGTGACCTGTGTCTACAGGAACAAGAATCAGTAGATAAGTATGTAATCTTTGATCAACAAGCATAATGTTATCCCAATACTGATATTTTATTCTGGTGCACTGTAGGAGGATTGTAAGCAAACTGTTCTTAACATACTTCAATGTCAAGGGCAATAAGAAGTCAGATGTACTAGAGCTGATTGCAAAGATATTGAACTTTAATGATGAGGATAAGATAACTGTATGTGTGTACTGTCATGTGACATCCAACAACAACCAACTAATAATTATTATTACCCCCTTCACTATTTACAGATTGGATTAGCCAAAAGACAATGGTCACTAATACCATTCTTTGGAAATGGAACAACTCCAGAGCAGCAAGGAGAGAAATCATTAACTGATATGTGGATCGAGTTCTTGTTGAAGGAGGCAGGTGAGGGTGGAGCAGGCATCAATACCAATATCAACAACAGTATTGAGCCAGCAGCAACACCAGCAAACACACCAATGTCAACACCCACCAAGAATATCCAGTTGCAGACTCCACCGGCATCGCCATACCGACCTACCGCAAGTTCAGTTCCAACAACGCCAGTGTCTAACAGCTACTTTAGTGTTACACCAAATCACAATGGCAAGCTAAAGTCAACTGTAATCTATGATGGTGATATCAAGAACAACTTATAAACTTAATATAAAGAATAATAATAGTTTTGTATTATCTAATGGAAGTTCAATTTGATCGTAAAACGAGTAATGTTTGAAGTGTATGTCTCGTATCGATCAATTATCACGTGTTGTCAATCAAACACAGTGCTTTGTGTGTTGTTGGTGTTGTCAATCACTCATTCCTACAAACAACATACTTTGATTGTCAAGAGATATCTTACTCATATAAGAATAATAGAGATAGATCGATATATATCGAGTTCGAGGAGTATAGGACCTCACAACTCGCGAAGGTGCCAAGATAGTGCTCGCCACCACGGGAATGAATAAGAAGAGATCTAATTCATTCACTGCTGCTGGCATCAATCAGCAATTGCAGCTCAGACTACTTGAGAGCACTAAGCTTGCGTCAAGCATCAATGGACGATCAGCACCTGTCAAACATCACAGTGGTGATGCATCACCCTGGTCATCGTCACAGCCTGCTGCATTGTCCACTACCTTGGAGAAGATAGTGCGCGTTGCCCCACAATCCAAGACACCAAGTAACAATTGCTCACAATCTCCAAGGACCAAGCAATACTCAAGCTCACAACCTACTGAGATGTCATCGCCACAATCATCAACACTACATCAACAACGGCAGCAGCAGCAGCAGGGTACACGAACATCATTCTTTCATTCTCCTGCACGAGCACATCCATATCACTACCTTGTATCAGAGAATGAAGACAGCAGCGATGATACCCCATCACCAACCTCCACATCAACCACAAACACTCGACCTGTGCAGCAGCAACAGCAGCAGATACCAAAGTTATTCAATACAGACAATGGATCCAATGCAAACTTCACATCATCATCACCACCAACAGGTGGACAGTTTGACCAGCAACATAACCCTTCAAGAGGTCGTCCATCATCACCAACTCTCTCGGATGACGACACTATCCTACAGAGTCCATATAAGAGTTTCAAGATGAGCTCAGCAGACACACCAACCAAACGCTCCCTGTAAGTGATACAACAAGTTTGCGAACAACATATATGTTGATTAATCATCTGAACTAACCTATGTCACACGTAGCAATGCTTATGCAAAGCTGATACCCCTGAATAATCCACAGAGTGCAGATCACCTGATATGCAAGAAGAACTACTCTATTGGAGGGTAAGTATAGATGGTTGTGTCATCACAACGTCGTCAGTGTGGTAGTCTAACAGAATCCATCCACGTTCACAACAAAAGTAAGAAGATCAACGACTTGGAGATTGTGGACAAGCATCGCAAGACCTATGCTGTTATAGCCTATCATAAGCCAGGTGTTATGTCTATAGAGGCGTTGTCCAGTACATCGACAAAGGTGAACAACATGGTCATCAATCATCTGACACTCCTCAAGAGTGGTGATCACATCTCTATCAAAGGCAACTCCTTTTACTTCCAATGTATGTTTGCATTGTCATGTAGTATCTATCAACGGCACGTCTAACAGTGACTCCTTCCTCAGTGCTCCAGACATCAAAGTCAACCAAACATGGAGGAAGTTCAATGAATGATCAATCAGACGAACATGTTCAATCGCACTCTCAGCCACCTCCCCTGGAAACAACATTCAAACCATCATCTATTTCAAACCTCATAATTCCTAATACATCGATATCGCAACCGGACCCGAGTCCAATGAACACCAACCTACAAGAGGGCACACTGGAGGAGGATGAGGAGGAAACCTTTCCATTCTCATTCTCACAACTATCACCATCTTCACAGCCACCACCAAGCGCTCTCCCATCACCATACAATCCCCCATCCAGTACGAGAACTACGACGACGACGACGACGACGACGACGACGACAACGAGGCCTTCGACCAGGATGAGGACAAGGATGTCGAGTCCTGTACCAAAGAAGACAAAGAGAAAGGCTGGGGCAAGAAAGACAAAGTCAAAGAAGAAAGTCATCCAGACTCTGATAAAGACAAGGAAACAGGATAACATGGATAGAGAGCTGCGAATGAATTTACCAATCACCTCAACGACAAGTACGACTACCAAGACAATGACTTTACATCGACCAACTTTATTATTCAATCGACTCTATTTCCATCTGTCACCATCACTCAGTGACCAAGGTAATGATTCAATCAACCGAACCAATCTGGACAGTCAAACCATCATCTGACACTATTGCATCATACATACATACATACTAGACGAACTGAAACGAATGATCACCGAACATGGAGGCATGGTAGTTGAATCATTGTTAAACAACTTTGCAATTCTATATATCATACCGGACCAACTACAGCTCTCAAGCCAACTTCCAACCATTTATCAAAAGTCCATACTGTACATCAAGAAATCATGGATAATTGACTCTTTGGCAAACGTATGTCACCAATCCATCCATCCATCCATCCATCAATGACATCCAAGGGAACAAAACGTCGCTAACGATTACCACCTCACCAACAACAACCATTAATATAGATATCCTCAGGTCAACCTTTGCCATACGATCAATACAAACACAGACTAAAGAAGTTGAACTACTATAAGGCACTCTCGATCTTTCCTTCAAAAGGAACGGATCTGGAAAAATATGTAAGTGTTTCTGTTGTTGTTGTTGGAGATAATCCACAACATATCGCCACACTGTTTTGTCTAACTCCAATGTTGTACACACAGAACATACTAAGAGCAGAAGTGGAGAAGGAGATGCATTTCCACGGTGCCCAGATTGTCGGTTTCGATACAAGGGTCATTACAAAACCTGCATTGTTCTTGGCTATTGAAGAGCTTCAGCAGGAAGACATCAACAAGTACTTTATTGATGGAGAGGCAACCATTGTTAAATTCGGATGGTTGAAGCACTGTCTAACGCAGCAGAAGTTTGTCACACCTACATCCGAACCCAGCAGGTTCTGTTACATGGTAAAGGCGACGCGTGCCAAGAGGGGTGCACAAGACACCTCTTAATAAATTGTAACTTCCAAGGAATAGGACACAGTTGGTAATGTTGTCTGCCAGTCAACTCCAGTCATGTGTATTAACACCCCAAACACAGTGGGCGACCTGTTTAATATTTCTTCCTTTGTCCACCATTATTCCAATTGATACCAACAAATACTACGCTTGAAGCTCTATCCATCGCACTGTTCTAACTATCTTAAATCCTAAACCATGAGAAGTTATAGCAATGACAACCTGGCTTAACCACGTGTTCGAAGACTTATGAGACAGACTGTACGTCGATGCCATCAGTCGTCGACCCTTAACGCCGACTACAACGCCGCTGCGGGCGGCGGCGGCGGCGATGCATCACAACAGACGGCGATGCCCCCCGAACCAGCACACTCAGACAGAGACGAGCCACTGATTCCACGACTTTCACCTGCAGCGCTAGCGTCGTCGATTCAATCGTCTGCCATGGACTTCTCACGCTCGTCAGCCACCATCTGCTGGTGGCGCGCTAAAGTACGCGTCGCTCACGGAGCAGGTGCGTCTGGTCACCACCATCAAGTAGGACGTACTACATGGCGACGCACCTCCCCTCCCCTCCCCTCCCCACTGGCGACGACGAGCTGACACTCAAAGTTACTCTTTCTGTTCTACAATAAAAGGTCGTGATGAAACGGATGGTTGTTATTCACACTGGGGAATCTTGTGAAAGTACTCCATCATGCGGATATGGCCTCGCTCGCATGCGAGCCGGAGTAGTTCGCCATAGTCTAGAAATTCCTGGTGTGAAAGGAATAGCTGGTCGATGATAAACTGGAGACAGACGGAGGCCTGGTAACCACAGGTCATTGCCTTGGCAATCGATCCTGCAATTTGGTGCTTTCCATGGCCATAGCAGAGTCTCTCGACACAGGCTCTTTGATCGCTCTGACGAGTGACCATGTCAACGTATGCCTCCAGCAAAGGCATGTGTCCTGTTCTTGCGTACGCAAAGAATTGCTCAATGCGCGGCCAGGACAGCTGGAGATCCTTAGATTGCAAGATGAAGTCTACAATGTCAACGTGTCCATTCTCTACTCCAATGAAGAGACTGGACAATCTCCAGGTCTCAGTGCGATTGTCAATGAGGAACTGGACAATGTCCATATGGCCATGGTTGACCGCCATTTGGAGAGTGTCTTTGGTGCAGCCTTCTGTTCTGTGCTTGTGAAGGAAGCGAACAAGATCCAGGTTGTACATGGCTGCATACTCCATCGCATTTGGAGAGGAGATATGGTCCACATGACCAAACTGTGTGTGAATGTCGATCACCAGAGACAGATCGCCAATGGCGACGACGTGATCCAAAGGCGATGGGAATGAGTCGTACCGGACTCTCGGCTCCAGGCAGCCCGAAGAGAGCAGAAGGCGAACATCATCTGCTGTTTCAAGCTCTTTGATGGCCTCGAGACCAACAAGGAATCCAGACTCAGCCAGTGCTTCCAAGATATCGCTTCTCTTGGCGACAATGAACTTGACCAGATCATCGTTTGTCAGAGCAGCTACCTTGAACACTTGTACGAGATGCTTGAATAAAGTGATGTCCTTGATATGCGTCATTTCGAGGTGCTGCAAGTCGTGGTACTTAAAGAATGAGTCCATGAGGAACTGGAACATGTCCAGCTTCAGAGCAGGAGACTGGAGAATCGCAACAGTCCACTGGACATTGTTGTACTTTGCCAGTCGTTGGAGAAGATCCATTGAGAGGATTGAGTCGTGGATTTCTCCCACGCTCCAAGTCTCGTCGCCATCACTGTGTTCACTGTCGTTGTTCAAAGGGACATTGTCAAGAAGGTAGAGCGCGACGTCAAGATGTCCATGCTCCAATGCCATGGCGACTTGGTCACCAAACTCCAGCGCCTGGTGGCGGTACGTGTGAGTCCAATGAGCGAGCGGAAGGTCGCCATGAATCGCTGCTGCGCGGTACAAGAGGTCGACTGAGAGATGCTCACGGTATCTTTGCACAAAGTCCAGACTATCATGGCATTGGTAGGCCTGGACTAGTACTCCATCAATGTCTTTGAAGGAGTCACTGCTCAAAGAGTCGTCGATGAACTGCTGCTCCAAAGTGGGTTGTTGAATGAGAGACTTGAGGAGGCAAGGATCTTTCATCAAGCGAACCATGGTCTTGAGGATACAGTCCGAGAAGGGGCCAGGGTCCGAGTGCAGAAGATCGAGAAACGATGGAAGCTCTTCACATGTCAAGTTGTCCGTAACCTGACTGTCAATGAAGAATGGACAGTCGATATCGTCGCTCCTGAAACGATGTCGTTGCAAGTGGATTGTCTCGAGCATCTTATACGACCGGCACTGGTGGTACATGTCTCGAAGCCTGATCGTGCTTAGCTGATTGTTGTTGTCGCATTCTGACAAGAGGAGAGCGAGCATTTCATGTCGATCCTCCTGGGCGACTTCCTCGACCAACATGCCGCCCTCAATGAGGGCGACACTGTCGTGAGAGAGACCGTTGTTGCGATTGAATTGGAGCAGATGACGAGCCACATCGATGTTGTTGAGTTCAATTGCCCTCTTGAGCAGGAAGCGAGTGCTCAGCGGGATGCGATGTATGTGGCGCATCGCCAGAACAAAGGGGTCAAAGTGCTTCATGAAAAGGTCGGTCCTGCCGAAGCGCAGCATTGTCAGCAGGCATCGGTCCTTATCGATCTGCTCGCCGGGCAGAATGCGTGTCAGCGGCTTCTTGTCGGCGCGCATCAGGACGACATGGATCTGACGGATCTGGCGGATGACCTCTCCTCTAATGACACTGTTCCTCCACAGAGTCTGGAAGGAGGCATCCATAGTCATAAGAGAGTTAAGGTGTGCTGTATCTGTATCTGTATCTGTGAGTGTGATGAATGAATGGTCGTTTATTGGTGTTTGATCGATGATTTGAGGTGAGACCACGATTTTACATCGATGACGTCGTTGTAGTGGACAAGAGCCATGATATTCAACACAACACGTCAGGTGCCCGTCTGGACATTCACTGGCAACATCCTTGCCACTACCTGGTTCGGTCTCTACTTTGCCGAGACCACCGGATCAGTCAACCTCAACTACTTCCTCCCATACCCATACGGTATAGGATCTGGTCAATTTGGCGCTGTTACACTCCAAGTCTCACATTCCAAGGTAGTCTCCAAGTACCAGAACCCACTCACCTCGCTCACCACCACAGCCCTTGGCTTCTTCCAGACGACTTCGACTGTAACGGCCTTGTGAGCCTATGTCAATGGTTTTGGTTACGCTCCAAGTTGTGCCACCAATCCGCAAGGTTGTGATGCTCTGGCATCCAATCCGGGTCATCCATGAGAAGGTTACTGATTGATACCTCGACAATCTGCATTTCCTGTCTTTGAGGTCCCAAGAGCTCCATTGGGCTCACGTCTGTGTCGGCAGAGACTGCGTCGGCCACAGTTTGTTGATGCCAGGATCTCTCCATTGACATAGGAGAAATAGTAGATCTGCTTCTTGTTCTCGTTCTTGTTCTTGTTCATCTTCTCATTGCATACTTGACAATAGAGGGCGATGGAGAGGAGCCCCTCTTTCCGATAGACAATGAAGTCCTTTTGAGGCGAATTGTTCGTCAACTAGATAAGTAAGGTAGGGTCGGGTGTCAGTTGGTTGCCAGTCTCTGTTGGAGCAGTCAGTCATACGGTGTACGCAGTGTTTGGGTGCACTGTGGGCTCTGAGGGCAATAGAAGTTCGCCAGAGACAAATAGGAGTATGGTAAATTCTTCACCTTCTTGTTCAAGTAGATCGCCATGAATTCCCTCTTGGCTATGTTGATGCGAGTGTCGTGGCTGATGGTGGAGAGTTGGTCAACATCTTCTTTATCCTCTGATGGCTCGGGTCTCTGGGCTGGTGGCTGCCAATACTTGACATTGGAAGAGGTCTGCATCAACATTGTTTTCTTTGCAGAGCTGGAGGAGGCTGTCTTGGGGGATGGATCTGGGTCAATTGGGTTGCCATCTGTCGTTAAGAAGTGGAATCCTCGCTGATTGTTCAGGTTGAGATGCCAATCTGCTCGATCTTTCTGGATTGTTATCATGACGGCGTCACAAGGTGCTGGCTTGCTGGCTGGAGTGGTCCCCTTCTTCTTGGTCGACCAATTTGGGTCCAGCTTGGTCGACTTATCGCACTGAAAGTTGTTGGCGATCAAGGATGGTTTCCTATTGTTGATTACCTGGATCAATTTAGGGACATTGTACAGGCATATCTAAAAGTGTCCATTAGAAGGTCAGTACAATGGTACCATATGTCAGTCTGTGAGATTATTCTTACCATTTTCCCAAGATGAGATAGCTGGGACTTTTGTCGGTTGGAGTCTCCAAAGCATAGGACGAAGTCGGTACTGCCAGATCCCTCGTACCATGCTATCTTCTCGTGGATGTTGGTTTTGTCTGGCCAGATGAAGTTGGCTACGTAGAGGTCTTTGCCTACTGCAAAGGAGCCAATGTTCTCGTCTGAGTTCTACACCGGAAGAGTGGAGGAAGAAGAAGGTTTGGTTAGTTGGATTGGCGACACCCTTAATGCCCAGCTCACTTCACGTACATGGCTGATGACCTTGAATGGGATGCCCTTGATCCTCGAAACAATTGTGAATGCGTCCAGTCCGAAGGTTGGAAGGAAGTGAGAGCCCTCAAGATCCTTCTTCTCAAAGTTATTCTGCTTGCGGATAAGGTCGTTGCCCAGCTGGGTGGCTCCGTGGACTACGACTGAAGTTGATTTCTTGGATGGCACTTTGGATTTTGAGTCCACTGTGTCAAAGTAGTTGCCATCCCGGAAGATGTTGGAATGTGGTCTGTTGGCTGGTTGGGATAGATGTTAGACCAAGTCTGCACCATGCTTCAACACCTGGATGGTCTACTTACCAAATGCATGGATATCGAACTTCCCGATGGTGGATTTCCCAGAGGTGAACACAAACTCGTTGAACGAGACTCATTTCTCGGTCATATCATAGAAGGCGTCCTCTGTCTTGTCATCGGAATAGAGCTTCATGAAGAAATTGGCTGGCGCTGCAGGGGACTTTGGATTGACGCGAGACTGCTTGAATATTTTGCCAAAATCTGCGAAACTGCACCGGTTGTTGGCAAAGTCTGCCGATGTCACCAGCTTGGCTTGGATCAGGATGCCATTGAGGGAGCTGGGGCGTTGGAAAGGTACGGCCATGTATAGCAAATCGACATACTTCTTGACTACAAAGAACTGACATATTGTTAGATGAAACTTGGACAAACTACAAAGAGAGCTGTTACCTTCTGTTTGGGTACTCAAAGAGAAACAGACCAGGTGCTGGGAGAGGATGGACACATCACTATTGTGAAGCTTTGGAATAGAATGTGCCACGACAAACGCCCCATCCTTGAAGGAAGATGCAACATTTGGATCGCTCTTGTACTGGCCGTCGATATGGTAGAGGAACAACTGTTTGTCAGGTGGATGAGATAGTTAGATATTGGATTTCCATGGAGACTATTGGAAAGTATACTCACTCTCTGGTGTGAGAAGAGACGGTTCTTGGGGTTGGAAGCTTTGTAGTCGGCAAAGACAACGGCGTCCGTTTTGCCAGAGTTGATAGTATTGGAAAGGGTGATCAAGGTCTTTGGGATCTTGCTGGGATTGACGCCGGTGTACTTCTTGCATTCTTGAACACCATTGAGGGCGAGATAGCAATAGTCTATGATGCGTGAGGTCTGGTCCGCTTTCGATGAAGAGTGCAGCAACATGGTCCACCATATTCTCTCACAGGCTTGGGGGCAGAGTTGGGGTTAAAGTCCGGGCAGTGGAGAGTAAGGGTGCCCACCAAGAATAGGCTGCAGAACAGAAGTAGTGCTGCAAGCTTCATTGTTGGAAGTAGTTATGAACTATGTGATGTGATTGGGTTAGCTAAATGATCAAACATAGAGGAAGAGCTTGGTTGAAGCACTGTCTAACGCAGCAGAAGTTTGTCACACCTACATCCGAACCCAGCAGGTTCTGTTACATGGTAAAGGCGACGCGTGCCAAGAGGGGTGCACAAGACACCTCTTAATAAATTGTAACTTCCAAGGAATAGGCGACTTGCCAAACAAGAACACTAAACCTGTTTTATCAAGTTTCAGTAGGGTTTTGACCAAAACACCGAGGTAAGCTCGAAATCAAGATTTTTATGAGATATTTATTTACAAGTAGGTTGGTTAAATTCCATCTTGGGAGTAGCACTCTACAATAACTTTATTATCACAATCAATCAATCAATCTATCTATCTATCTTTCAATCAAACAAATAATGAAGACCTATTCACTGTTGTCCATTCTACCTCTTTTAATAGTGGCAATGGGAGGAGTCAACTCCCAAGAGGTATTCAATCAAAGTCTCTCTTTTGGTGCTCTTCCTCCAAACAAACTTACCACCAAGCTTTTTGAATCAATTTCATTGCCTTCATCGTCATTCGCATTGGAAGGAATCCAGGTGTTCATAATCAACAACACTGACACCCACCTGAGGTAACAAGAATTTCGGGGGGTAATTTCTTTATGGGTCAAATTCATAGGACAATGACTGATAGATAGACATAAACGGGTAATAATTGTTGTTGTTTATTACAAACCAAAGAAGTTCTTGATGTTGCGCATGATGTTGGGTCTATCTGTCACCATTTGGCTTGATGATGACTGGGTTGTAGACTCAGTGTGAGTGATTGTGTTGGTTCCATGGCTGTTTTGGATATCT